CAGAGGGACAGAGTAGCTAGAGTACTTGACATTCACACCTTATTAAGGACTTAAACTTTTAATTTTCTGAAGCTTAGCACACAATAAACTAGGTTCCTTTATTAGGAAGAAACATTTTAATGTGCAAGAACACTTTATTTGTCAAATATATCTGGTGCCCTATGGGAAAGATTTCTTTGTCAGCTCTATGGTTGATCAGTTAGCAATTTCTAAAAGTAATTCTCACTTTGTTTTGGGAGTTTCACTATTTTTTCCTCTGCTGCTTGATCTCTTTTTACCCCTGCTCCTGGATCGAGAGGAACTCCGACTTCTGCTCCTACTGCGTGTTCGACTATGACTTCTGCTGCGACTGCGGCCTCTCCTCTTTCTCCCCCTGCTGCGTGACCTCCTCCTTTCTCGACTTCTTGACCTTCCAGATCGACGCCTTCTCTTGTTTTTGCGGCGATTCTTTTTTCTCTCAGATTCTCCGTTTCTCCGGTAAGAATGATCTGAGCTTGGGCTGCCCCTTCTCCTTGACCGGCTGTAATAGTCATCACGATGGCTCGTTCTGTTTCTCCTTTCAGAGTTTTTAGACAACTGATTAGTCCGTTCGGGAGAAACACGTATGTCTCTATTGGCCTCCCAAAACTCATTGTTTGGATTTTTGAATACATGAAGGAAGTTGCAGTGTTTCCCTCTTGGACACTTCTGCCTTTCAAATAAGCCTGCAACAGATTAGGGTTTGCTTTTTTATGAACCAGACCTGTTAAAACTCTTTCTTCATTATGCACCTACTGGAAAGAAACTTAATAAACTGAGTTTTCCTTCTTCCAACAGAAAAACATGCATCTGACCACCTATCGACTTAATTCACACAAGATTAATTTTCAATGTATACTCTTCTTGGAACTAACTTTTTAACAGCAATGAAGGTTTAAGCTTAAAGCATTTTCATAAATATCTTGACTACCTTAATCTAAGAATGTAAACAGGTAAGTCAAATGCGATAGTTACTGCTAACAACTGCTGATGTTTCAGAAACTGCTGCTGCTTTTTAAAGAGGCAAGTTAGTACTTCCTGTGGTTTCACTGTACGATTATGATTTCCAAAGCTAGGATCCCAACTTTCTTTTCCATTCCAAGGTAAATCCACTAGAACGATTCAGACACTTATGTCACATGGGGTGAATATTCCCTTTCTTTCCTAGATCTACACAAGCAGGTTAGCATATTTCTCTTCCAAACAGAAATGAACTACAACATTAGGCAGATTTGGAAGCTACAGACTAATTCCCACTTTTTCATTTCCACAAGTACTCTTTCAGTAACACGTGCTCTCTTTTCCAAGCGTTTATGTGACTCACCGCATATAGCAGTTTTCCACCTCGTCACAGGACAGAATTCACAATGAAGCTGTCGGCCGGCATACCATCGTCCACTGAATAGAGCAAGAGCTGCCTGACAGTCCTTCTCCCTTTAAAAAGTGAAAACGACACACGGCATTATCATCATACAATCATTTCAGATGCTACTTACCAATTTTAGGCTCCCATTACAGTCTGAGAATGAATCACTTGGACTGAACAAACAGGGCTCATTACTGAACTTTGGAGCGGAGTTCTAAACCTTAGTAAGACGGCCAGTACTTACGACTGATACTGGACATAGACGTTTCCTCGCAGGTGAGGCTCGTAGTTGCAACTGACCTAAGGGGATGGAAACATTAGGTTAGCGCCACGGACGGTTTGTGCTACGCAACAGCTCACGCGTGCAGGGGTGGCAGCCATTCCAATTTATGACAGCTCATCAAGATGAACTTACCTATGAACGTCTTCTGAACACTGAGTTTTAGCCAAAAAAAAAAAAAAAAAAAAAGGGAAAAAAGCGCAAGCCCTTCTGGCTTATGTTTGACTGTTTGCAGCATTATGCTTTCATTAACTCTGGGGCCTCTGCTTCACCGAAGTCCACCAGACAGCTTGTACTCGATTGTCTTGCACTCGTCTGGGCCAACCCTACCGTGCAACAGCCAAATCCTGCTCTGAAAACAATTGGTAGTATCCTCATGTGGGAGGATGTGGGATGTGGGATTCATTACGGCAAGAGAATCTTTAGAGCAATTTACCCTCACAGCATCCCAGTGAGACGAGTTAGAAAAGCTGAAGTCACTAGCTTTCATGGTACAGTTCTGAAGCACCTTTTTTCATAATGATTTAGCATTCAAAGTTTACCTAAAGCTCTGCAAAATACACAATTTAACTTCCAAAAAGCTTCTTGCTAGTTAACAAAAGATTCTGAGACGGGCAAGCCCAAGCAGGCTAGAACGCAGCTCTCCAGGGCAGAACTGTGAGCCCGGCTTCCTTTGCCCCCAGGCCTCTTTCGATATCCGCACCAAATGAGGCAAGTGGCTCCTTTCATCCCTGAACCCTGACTGACCCTCAGAGAATACCTCTCTGTGCACTGGATTAGGCAAGGGCTTCAGGCACGACAACAAAGCAGTTGTATAATTAAATATTACAGAATAAGCAGCCCAACTATTTGAGAGAAACACAAGAACAAGTGAGAATTATTTTGCCACAGACATTTTTGGGTGGGAAAAGAAGTGTGTTTTGCCAGAATCGGCCAGATTCTGGAGTAGTTTCCCAGAAAGAACAGCAAGAATAAAGCCTTGGGCTACATTGGAAAGGGACGTCGCCTGGAAGAGGGGTGTGTATAATCTGATTCTAAATGGTAGCAGAGACTCAGCCCAATCACAGTGAAGATCCCTGCAGCCAAAACGCAATTTCTAACCATCTCTAATATAATGAAAATGCCCATGAGAATCACATTACAGTTGCACAATTGCTTCAGAAGCTAAGAAATGCCACTCTAGAAGCTCCTACCCCGTTGTTAATCACAGGGACCCAAGTACGTGCAACTCAGCACTGTATCATTGTTACATGCAACTAAGTCAAGGACCTGAGTTTGATAGTGAGACAGCATTTCAACCCACGCTCCAATGGGAATCTACATCCCATCTTCTAGGATGGAGCACAGCTTGCTAATATCCCATGAGTCAAAATACAGAGGGGATACTCCTCCAAACAACTGAAGGTTTCTTGCCTATATAGCCCGTTATACAACTATTGAAAATTCACTTTTTCTACTTTCTTTTTCTTTGAAATGCTAATACAGTCTCAGGTCTGAGGCAGCTGTCAGTAGCTGGAAACAAAAGGAGAAAAGGCACTGTGTGCCTCCTGGTGACTGCTGGAAAACGCTCAGGAATGGCAAGCAGAAAAGGATGCTGCAACAGATTCTGTTACAAGGAGATTTCACCATTCAAGCTGCGTATTTTGGGGCAACATGGGACTGTTAACACACATCATTCATCCCAAGTCTCCATTTACAGGTCCCTCTTTTTTTCCCCCCTAAGAAATCGTAATATAAATGGGAAAATTTCAGTACAGAACACTCAGCAAACCAAATGCACAAACTAAGGATGGATGACAAATCTCAACACCATTTACGTAACTTTGCTTTTTATAATCCCTCCTACTGAAACATCTACTGCCTTTTCAGTTCATTGTAATTTGGTTTTATTTTATCTAACCAGTCCTAAAATGACAATGTTTGGGTCTATAGTCCAACTACATTTTATAACCCCACTATTTCATTCCTTAGGCACAAATACAATAGCCCAGATATATTTATATAGTCTTACTGGACCCTCTGGGGCTCATCATGGGCTAAGTGAAGAACAGACTGTGAGGTAAGTGGACTGTTCAGCAGTATGAATAACTTGCAATATAAAAAGCACAAGCTTTAAGATAGTTCAGGGGAACGGAAAAGAAGATTCACCCAGAGCAAGCCAATGCTCTGTAACAGCAGTGACATGTTTACATGAGAGGTGCAGTTTGCTGTAAGGACACTGTAGAGTTCTCTAAGGTACACGGGATTTAGCTAGGGCAGGCTGGACAGAACTGCTAAGGCCAGTAAAACACAACTTAGGTGGTGTGTGTTACAGATTTAGCAAGCTGTTACACCCAGATGCGTACCTTGAATTGAACAACCTTCCCCACGTTCTGAAACTCAGGGAGCACGTCCTCGTAGAACTCCAGGAACTGCTGGTAGGTCTCCTCATCGCTGTACTCGAGACTCGCGTCCGTGTCATAGTCATCTCTCCGGCACTGCTCCATGCCAAAAGTAATGAACATCCCTCGGACGAGTAGCGTCTTACTAGATGTTGGATAATTATGCTTGCGAGAACACCTGGAGATTTGAAGTGAAGAAAGAAAAGTTAAAAGATCAGCACTTTCAGCAGAAGATGCACTTGTTGAAGCTTTCAAACACTTGCCACTTTGCCTAACAGTTACTACAAAAGAAAATCCATTAGTGGAAGATGAACATATTTCAATTATTAAAACAAATCTTTTGGAAGTGAGTTTGCGTATAATCTTAATGCTTTCTGCCATGCATAAATACATTCTTGCTTAAAAAAACCACACCCGCAAAAGCTGTAGACACCACTAACACAAAAGCTCAAGTAATTTCTTTTAGGCTGCTAGGATTAAATGCGTTCCTATTTCTGAAGGGCTTTATAGAAAAGACTACTGACAATCTTTTACAACATTTTAAAGCACATGCCTGGTCTTCTTTCTGCAAACTGAACAACTTCTGCTGAAGTTGTTCTCATCGTGTGGGGGGTGGGGAGAGGGGAGTGAGGGAAGGAAAGCACATTTAGACCTGAAGTTGGTCAAGTACAGAATTGGTATTTTTCCACTTCTAAAAAAAATGATTCTTCTAAGTAAGCCTTATCTTAATCTGCATCTTCTTGGCAGCCATAAAAGTATTAGATCTCCCTCACCATCCATCATATTCAGGCTACCTCCCTCACACGCTGAAATACAGTTCTCCCCTACAAACCTTTAGATTCAGTAAGAACATAGATGTTAGCCTCCATGTTTATTTCACTCTGCTTTATGATCTCCATTTCAAACACTTCCCAGAGCAACTGGGTCATGCACTCCCCAACACATTTCTCCTTTTCATGACATGATCAGAAAAACAGTCAGACTAGTCTACTCTCTTCATCTAGCACTGGCAAAGCACAGACAAATTGGAGGGAGGTCAGGTCTCAAAATGGGCAATTACAACCTAGACTTCAGATAGGAAGTTTCTTTCCGCATCCAGTCAGTCAGAAATTGACTCTCACTTTCTGGTTGACATCTTAAGACTTCAAAAAAAAGTAAAAAACAAAACTCCAACCCAAAACTAAAACCAGACAATTTCAGTTTGAATATTTTTTTTAACATTTTAGAAGCCACCTCCTTTCGCTGTTCTATTTGAATGATAGAACTCAAAATATTATACTCGACCAATATTGTCTGTACACAAAATGAATATAGTACGTAACAGAACAAAAGGAACCCCAAGGAAAATGAATGACCCAAAATCCAGTATTACTACAAAATATTAGGGTTTGAATTACTGTGGAAATTAATAACAGTGAAGTTTTGGCTTCTTCAAGACATAGTGAGCTTTGACAAGATTCAACAATTATTTTATTGATAACACTGTCTCTCCATTTTTCACCACTGTGGTTCATTTCAGCCTCCAACCCATTCTTCCAGTCCCTATCCGAGCTCTACCTCAGTCCTTCAACTTACGGTCAATGCCAGAGGTTAAAATGACCAGAATATGAAGGAAGCAGGTATGTGTGGAGGAAGAAGGAAAATGAAGGAGAGATAGCTGAGATCAACAACTACAGGTGAAAGAAGAAGGGCAGAATATGATGTTTCTTGGTATTTATTTACCAAAGCTATTCATAGTTCAAAGCCAAACTGATTTTTATGCAATCCACAATTAACCCAAGGAGGTTACCACCATTAAATACCACTGAAACAAAAATACGGCAAAGATTACAAAGAACTAAACATTTGAAAAGCAAAAATGCTGTCTGCAGTGAAACAGCTGCCAAAGTTTTATTTAGGAATTCAACACTTATTTCACAATACAAAAGAAGATGTGAACTTGTAAGTTTCCATACAGTTGAATTATCACAATTATCCACAATATACATCACATTAAAACAAATTACTTCTAGGATAAAAAAAAAAAAATCTACAATAGCTGGACAACACGTGTTTCGGTGATACAAGTTAGTAAAACAGCCTTATTAGTTTATGCTGAAGATTCATGTAAAAAGTAGCAGCATCTTTCCGTGCTGAGCTGTTGTTCCTCCTTAACATACACAATCTTTCACCATTTGTTTCATATGAGAAAGCACTTTTTTAAAAAAAAAAAAAAAAAAGCTGGTAAACACTCAGGGGCACTGAATTAAACTGTTTCATAATAAAAGCAAACAATCCTTCCCATCCTACTCATGAGTTCAATGTTCATCTGCCACAGCCCTCTTCCATCATCTCTTTGAAAGCAGAGCTTAGACTAGTTAGCCACTCCTCCTACAGAAGCTGTTCCTCATCTCTGATCCTCCTGTTGTCCGTCTCTGTTCTTGCCTTTCATACACGTCCCTTCCAACACCGGGCACCCGCAGCAGCATACGAGAACCAACAGGGAATGTATCACGCATTTTAACAGTATACAAACAGGAGAATTCTGGAAGGTACACAACAGCTTTCCCAACTGTGCAGATGTACCTTAACTTGCTTTAGTCCATCTGTGATTTGATTTTAGTTTTTCATGATGTGGCATATGCAAATTAGACAAGATTTAAAAAAAAAAAAAAAAGAAAACCCCAATCTGACCTATCAGGCCTGTACTCCTAACAGAAATCAAACGTATTCTGTCTGAATATATCCGTGCAGGTGTCAGAGCTAAGGAAAAGCCAGTCTGACCCATGAAGCCAGAATGCACCGTCAATGATAGGCCACAACACCACAAAGTTCAACTCCAGCCAGGCAACGCTTTTGCTCTCAATGTCTAGTTCCATCACGAATAACAGAACCACACCCAAATGCGTGAAAGTAACATATATAGCAATTTTTCATCAGTTTGGATATCGCCTGATGAAGCTGCTTCCCTTTCATCTCTCCAAAACACTTCTATGCTGGTAAATACTCAATTGATTACCTGTCTCCAAATCGGCAAGAACCCGTTTTAATATAGAATGGGCAATTCGCTCTGTCCTTCTCTGTTCCTATATTCTCTGGGGGCTCTGGGTTATGCCAGGTCACACCATTCTCCAGCTGTGGAAAAAACCCATTAAAATACACAGAAGTTAGAAAAGAATAAAGAAATGTCCTGTCAAAATAAAACTACCAATTAAATCCACATGCAGTTATGAGCACTGTGTTACTACAAGGCAAGCAGAACCTATTTTAAGCATGGTTTTACAAAGCTGCCCAGTGTCTTGGGTCTCTGGTAAGGGAAACCTCTTTTTTTGGTAATTTTTCAGCTTGAAGAACAAGTCTATATTCATGATTTCTTTTTAAGAAAAAAGCCCATTAATCTGGATGTTTTATTTTGGGAAAGGAAAAGCTTCTTAAGATAACTGAAAGAGTTGCAACATATTTGCTCCTCAAATAGCAATTTCATTTGTTGTCCATGAGAATTACAAATACTGAGACAAGTTCTTTCCCTTCAGCTAAGCCTGTTACCTACTTCACTCCAGGACCTACTGAGCAGCACTTTATACACCTGGCAGGTAGAAAGCTAGGGGTAAAAGGCAGAAAGAAAACTATTTACTTATTTGTCTCTGCAATAGCTCAAAACTCAGTAAGCTTATCATGATCACTTTTTATGCAGCTAGAAAAGGTTAAAATAAAAGTAACCTGCCAAAGGCCAGAATTTAAAAAAAAAAAGAAATTCAGTTATTACTGGAAGTAAAAACCTCTATACTGATCATCTCAGGCCATTCAGATTTCTGTAATTCAAAATGGGATTATCAAGTCGCAAGCCCTGACTGACTACGAACAAAACGCATATGTTAAAAAGAGAATTTTCAATTTGCTAACCAAAAGATCTGTAAAGCTGACTAGCCTAAGTTCTTGGTTTAAATCAACTGAAAACTGTTTATTTAGAAGCAGCATTTGACCCTGCTACCGGTTCTGTTCATGACTCTCAGCAATAATTTTCTTTCAACAGAACAGCACTGTCACTTCAACAGTAAGTAGCTGAACCGTGAACTGACACTATAATGAAGTCTCTAACGTACCACATTTCTGCCTATTCCTTTGCAGAAATGACTTATAATACATCTTGAGCTCCGGGCAGGTAGTAGTTCAGAGCATTTTTATACCCATATTGTGAAACAGAGTTAGATTCCCTACCTAAAAAACTGTTTAAACATAATTTGGAACTGAACACAACTCCAGTGTCATATGGCAATCAACGTACAATGGGTTAACTAGGTTAAAAATTCTCAGATTCATGCAGTGGTTTAAGCAGAGCAAGAATCTTCACAAGTTTAACCATATGACAGGGATAAAAAGCCAAATTATTCTGTAAGGCCATAGGAAAGATTGAATTCATCCTAAGATTCAAATGAAAACTGCAGTTTTCTTTACTACACACTGCCAGCCTGAGAACCATGCTCTTCCAGGCGCCCAAGCTTTAAGCTTCTCCCTCCCCCACCTTTTTCTTTTTCTTAAGGATCTGTGCCCTCCTCTACTGTTGAATCCTTTCATTTAAAGCCTGCCATCTGCTTAAAAAGACAAGCTTGTCTTGCCACCCAGAAGGACTGACAGATTTATTTAGACTTCTAATTCACAATAAACCATCACGCATAGTGGTTTTTTAAACAGCAGACAGCAGCATTTCCAGATTCGTTTTGACTCAGATCTCCTGAAGAGGAGTAAGCATGCACAACTGCAGTGCCACCAACCAGCCAGAAATATGCTTAATTATGTTCCACCCAGTAAATAATTGTTTACAGCTCATGCAAGCCACTACATATTAAATTTATTCAGGCCATTAGGTTCCTGACAGCAGATGGACAACATGCTAGAAGGCAAACACTGGATGGCAATTAAATTACTTTTTGGTTCTTTTTCAAAAAGTCTCTGAGCATACCTGGCTTTCAGCTTGATCCAGCATCCTCTGCACAGCTGCCTATAAATGGTGCAAACACAGGACTAGTGAAAACCCTGAGGATACGCAAAACATCTGGTTTCTTCAGTTAAGAACCTAATTTACAATACTCAATGATTGTGCATAATAGGAGTTTGATGGAGTTTGCTTTAGAAACGGAAGTTTTACTTTTGCTCTGGAGCAATGCATGTACTACAAAGCTGTTAAAGGATACATCAGACAAGTCCCTCATGTAGGCCATTTTCTAATCTAAACGATAGACAACTGAAAAAAGTTTCACCTTCTTTTTCAAAACTATCTTTGAACTATTGAATACTTAAATATATCTCCTGCTCTAGTACTCAGTCTGGTTACAGTTAAGTTCATCATCATTTAGTTGCACTAAGGTTTTTAAACTCAGAACATCCTGTGTAACACATAGAAAAACACACTGCTTAGTGAGCCTCTCAAAGCAAAACACGTAACTTAAGAAACTCTAATATCAGAACTTCACTGTATCTAGCCTTCCAAACATAGGAAAACAATGAGGATATTCTTCCCCTTCTTTCTTCTCAGTGGGCTGAGCAAAACAATAAAGTCACTTTCCAAAACTGGCTGGAAAGTAGTTCTAACAAATTTTTCTAAGAAGTTCCAAGAAGAAAAAAAAAAAAGGCATTTAAACATAAATAATACAAGAAAATATGCTATCATTGTTCTAATTTGCAAAAGAATTAATTAAATTCAAAAAAAGGAAGAGCAAATAAAAATTAAAAAATGCAATCCAAGATGAGGACCCAGACAGCATCTGGTACTAATCACCAATTAAGTCAGATATCATCCACCCTATTAAAGAAAAACAAAACAAAGCAAACAAACAAAAAAAACCTCCAAACCAAACCCTCACCAAACTAGAAAATCTATTTTCTCATCTTAGGAAAAGGAATTTTTTTTTTTTTTTTTTTTAAATCAGTAAGTCAGAATTTGAATAAAACTGCTGTTTCAAGAGATGGGCCAAATCAATTGAACAACTTTCCGCTGCTGAAGTGGGTGGCTCCACCCCCAGCTGGGTACTCAGTTTCCCTCTGGGTACCTGTCAATGCCCTCTGTGAGCCAATTTAACTCACTAAACCAGTACAATAGTAAACCAGAAAAAAAAGCCAAAAGACCACAAGCAAAGCAAGAACAGCAAAAAGAAAGCGACTTCCATCTAGTTCAAGGAATCAAATGAGCCCACCGAGGGCAGGGACAAACCCAGGCACAAGGGAAGGAACAAGATCCCACTGTTACCATGGTTCAACTCTCTTGGAGCTATTCTCAACCTTAAATGAAGGACCCACCATCACTTTCTCTCCCTACTCTGCAACGAGAGAAATGGACGCTTAACACAAGAGGAAGACAGACAGGAAATACAACAACTGCTGTTCTTTTTCACTCCTCATGCAAGCGTTACGTAATCCGTGACACCACCAACTGTTAAACGCAGGAGACAACACTGTTTGCTCATGTCTCTTCTCCTGCTGTGGCTACCAGACAACGTAGCAAGACACCTCCCAGGGAAATGACTGGAATCTTTTGCGAGTGTGGAGAAGCTAAAATGACCAGATCCTAGAAAGCTGCGATCGCTCTTTACTGGCGACAGGCCAGTCCTAATGTTGGATTTCTGTACAGGACATCTTACATCCAGGTCACTCAACTTCTAAAACTTAAGAAGAATGTATCATTAACAGAAATGTTATCAATGACTACTATCTTCAGTATAATCTTTTTTCTCCACCCAAGGAGCTCTGAAAAAAAGATACGTCCTGTTGGATGAGTCAGGTAAAGAAGATCTGGGATATATCTTTTGATTAAGAACTCTGTTAAGGAACAGCAGCCATGTACTTCCATATTCCATATCCTCATTGGGCATTTTCTTCAACACTGACTGTGTTCAACTGGGACATTAAGTAAGGATCATCTTTAACGCATGATGCAAAAATGGCACATATCAGAACCTGCATTCACAGCGTGCCTTTGATTTTAACTGGTGTAAAAAAATTACATGCTATGAACAACCAGACGCGTCAGAACCCTTCTAGGTATAGGGATTCACTAGATCCTCTTTAACAGTGAATAACAGTTTCAGGAATTTAGACAGAATGGAGAGAAGTAACTAATGGAGAGAAGTAACTAACATATTTGTACGTTTACTAATTAGAATAAAATCCCTCTTCAACACGCATAGCCTGTTGCATCTGATAATGTAAGAGGATATATAACATGTTTATCCTCCCACTGCCAGGAATCACCTCTCTCTCTTTCTTCTCCTGTTGCTTCTGCTGTGCCACTTCTCTCTCTTTTCTTTGCTGCTCTTCCCATTCTTCTTTGATCTTCCTCTTCATGACAAAAGAATATTTTAAAAAATTATTTAAGGAAACAAATAATCAGTCATATTCAAAACGATCATGTTGTATTACAGCTCCCTGACCATTAAGTTTTCATCCAGTCATAAGCAACTGAGTGTCTGGACAAAAACCCTTTTAAAGAGTCTTTTGTTCCCTTTTTAATTTTGCTCTTCTAGAATGGAAGAAAGAAGAGCTTACACTTTCAAATGCACCAACATCAGGAAAACTGGGTCCACTACAGAACAGTAAAAGGTATTACACTAAGTCTACCTCATTGCCAGACACAACTGTAACACTCAGTTTATACATCACCTCTTCCTCTTCTTGACGTTTTCTTGCAGCCTCCTCTTTTTCTTTCTTAAGCTTGAACTCTTCTTGCGCCTTTTCTTCTCTCAGCAACCACTGCTCATGTAGTTTTTGTCTACCAAGGAAACCAGACACCACTTAAGACAAAATTCAATGACTACCCACAACTGATGCAATTGTCATAGATACAATTCAAATTTATTAGTTCAGCAATAACTACCGCTTATCTAATCTTCTCTAAAAGAGAAAATTCCATAGGAATCATCCAGGCTTTAAAGAAAAACTGCATAGCCCAAAATACAGAAAAGGGATTCTGTTTTACAGAATACATTGAAACTTTTCAAAGTATCAAAATGCAATTGACTACAAATGTAGCTACTGCACATATGCCATTTTTTAGATTTTTCACCTTTCTGCCTCAAGTTTTTTTTCTTCTTCTTCTTCTTCCTCCTCTTCTTCCAGTTCCTCCTCTTCCTCCTCAGACACAGATTCATCTTTTTCTGTAGCTTCTGAGAACAAAAAACCAAAGCAACACATCTAAATCACTAAATGTTAGTCAAAGACACACAAAATTATATCCTTTAAAAAAGCAAAAGCAAAAAAAAAAGAATCACTACTAGTTCCACTGACAATACAAAATGCTTCACGGTTACCTGAGTCTCTTAGTTTGGCAAGTGCCTGCCGCTTTTTTTTTCGCTTTTCTTTCTTCAGAATAGCTCTGTATTTTTGGTGGCTGAATATGAGAGAATATTATTTCCATTAAAAAAGGCCAAGCAAAGGATATTTACTGTCATACACGCACCCAACTTAACACCCACAGTACAAAACCCCACAAACCGCCAAATTAACAGCGATTCACACGGAACAGTAACTCTGGAGGGACATCTGACAGGACAGTGAGATCTGCAGCTGTGCTGTCAGAGCTGCATGCGGGCAGCAGCAACGACCACATTCGGACGCAACACACAGGGTCTCATCCTTCTTGAGCTCTGCAGTACTTAATGTTATCACCAGCTCCATAAACCCTCCATTAGTTCATGAAACATGGTCACTAGATAAGATTAGGGAGAAAAATTTGAGGATCTCCTACCTTATTATTCTGGCACAACTTTCAGCACATTCTAGTCTTCCCTCTGTTTTACAGGGCACAAAACTTTAAGCCCTTTCCCTTCTCCCTTGATACTCTCTACAGGAAGCAGTCTTGATGCACAGATAACAGAAGCACACTTTGCAACCACCACAGGTAATGCTTGGGTCTATGCTGCTGCTACTGAAGGTTGGCCAGACTCATCCTTGCTTGTCTGACAGCTCTGCAAGCTGCCTAGAAACAGCACCATGCTTGCATTATGGTTCAAAACCCTCTAAGTATCTGAAAGCCTTTTCATATCAACGCCTTTTCTGTCATTTTTCATTCTAGCTCTCTTCTTTCTAGCTAGTTCATAACAGAAAAATAGGAGGGAGGGATGATCTTCAACTCTTGTCATTCTGCCATGCCAAATACTGACAGGAGATCAGCATCTTCCTGTTTCGGAGTATGTAATTTTAAAAGATTCCATAGGTGTAACTCAGCCAGCCAAAACCTCTCCCCTGCACCTCTAATCCTTCCATTCAGGGTTACTCACAACCTCACACGCCACCAGTAACCCTGTGATGGTTGTGCCGGCAGCAGAGGGCTTGCCCTCAAAGACTGATGCCAGGACCAACGCCTGACGGCACGCGCTGCCCACATCTGCGCCTTCCCCCTTTGCTCAAGCAAGCCTCGCCGCTCCTCCTGGCATGTCACCTGCCTCAAGCGAGCCTCAGCCGCTCAGCGGGTGCCTAGGGTGACAAGCAAGCGCATCACCTTCCCAGCTCCCGGGCTTTCCTAGCTGCTCTTAAAGCCCAAGGAAGGGAGGGAACAACTCCCCGCGCTCCCAGGCCGCAGCAGCACACGGTGGGGTCGGGGGGTGGGCAAACACCGAGGCGCAAGGAGCAGCGGCGCCGCAGCCGTTTCAGGGTGGGGGGTTCGCCTCCTCCCGCCCAGCCGCATGGCACTGGCGAGCGGGGCCGCTCCAGCAAGCGCGGAGCGTAGGTGTTCGCAAAGAGCTGGAGGCCCGCACCGGGCATCCCCCGTCATCTGCGGGGGGAGACCGGACGGGGCTCAGCCCAGGCACGTACACACCGCCTG